CTGGCTGTCCTGTCTTTTATGTCAGTTGGAAAGAGTTGCAAGCTAGCACAGCCAGGGATTCCAAGAACGCTTTAGCGGGGAGAGCATGGTATGAGGATGCAGCTGATTGGTTTTGAGGACAGGGAGGTGAGCGTCAAGGGATCTTTTGTGAACCACTGTACATTGAATGAGAAGGAAGAGAAACAGCACTCGGAAAGGAAGTGCTGGCGCATGTCTCTGGTTAACAGCCTGCCACTGAAGTGTAGGGCAAAGGAGAAACGCGTCCCAAAGCCAGGCAGAGAAATGCAGATTTGGGGGCTGGAGAAATGGCTCAGAGGTTAAGAGGCATTCCTCAGGCGTCTGAGTGCTTTTCCACAGGTCCTGAGTTCAATTCCCAGCAACCACATGGTGGCTCACAATCATCTCTAATGTAAACTGGTGACCTCTTCTGTCATGCAGTCATTCATTCAAATAGAGCACTCGTATACATAAATAAGTACATCTTTTAAAAAAAGAAGTTAGGTTTTGGGACTCTCCAGTCACCACTTAAGCCAATTGCTAGGCTCTAACTAGGTATTGAAAAGCCATGTTTTCGTTAGGAGGCAATTACCCAGATGATTCAAATATGAATATGAATCTTTTTAAGCGCAACAGCAGATAAAAAGTGTGGGGAGGGGGATCATCTCTTCTTTAACTCCTCCCTCCAGTTTCTGAAACAATATTAGGAAATTTGATCCCACAAAAGGCCACTTCTACAACTGAGAAGAGTAAAATTTGGTCCGAGTAAAGCAATTTGCCTACAGCGCCACCATCAGTAAGTGGCCAGGCTAGAGAATTTTTCAACACACAAGCCTCACCTAAAAAGCATTACTGCTGTCTGGAGTAACTGAAAAAATTACTGAAGAACGTAGATTTATTCTGTATGACTCTGCAAAACGAAAGAACAGACAGGCTCTTTCGGCTCATTCCAAGAGGGAAGCGTTCAAGTAATAAACGTGCAAGTGCCAAGGGAGAGAAAGAACCATATAAGTGAAAGAGCGCGCGACGCAAACTCGAAATTGCAGCTGTTTTGCTAATAAGATAGAGCGTGAGTAGCATTATCTTCAGTACAGAATTGTTTCGGCTCGAAGTAGTCGGGGCCACCGGGAGGTGTTTTCTGTACCTCTAGGTCAAGCTAGAAAGACCACGAACGTGTGACAACACCAAGACTCGTCTCGGCCGCTTCGGTCACTAGATCATGCCCGAAAGGCAGCGCTCTCAGCTGAGAACACTACAAATCCCATCGTGCCTCCCCAGCGGAGGTGGGCGGGCCCTTGGTGCACGTGGGCGACCCTGACCAATAACGACTGTCGTTACAGCGAACAGTTTGGCCGCGTTTGTAAAAGGCCGCAGCAGGCAAAGAGAGACGCGGCGAGGGCGGTCGCCAGCGAGAGGTCCCTAGAGGTGCGAGGTAGGTAAGGGAGCCCTGTGTGCAAGGCCTGGAGTGGCCGGACGCGGCCTGGGGTGGGGGTCAAGGCGGAGAATGTGTTCTGGGGACTGCGTGTCGGACTGGTTACATTTGTGCTGGGGCTCACATGGCACCGGAAGTGGGCGTCGTGCGGAGGATGCCGGGATGCAGGTCGCATGGGAAGTGCGTTTGGTAGCCGGATGGTCCCGGAAGCTGTACTTAGGCGCGCGCTCCTAAACAAGACTGTGGGACTGAGGCCCTGATTCTGTGATCTGACAGCAGCCGACCTGATCCCCCACACTCAGTAAAGGCCTACGGGCTCTGACGCTTCGGTCCAGTTCGACAGTCTCATCCCTAACATGGGTAAATAGCGCCTCCACAGGTCCCTTCAGTGAATGCGCCTACTCCAGCCGCTCCTCCTCACCTGGGGAGCGCTGAACACGCCCCCAGCCAGCATCCCCAGCTCTGCAGCTGGGTGGCACCAAGGCGAAGCCTACCTCGTTCTGGGTTCCCTCTCCCAGCGCCAGGCGCTGTTCATCCTCTTGCTAAGGAGAGACGACCGTCCCGAGACCCTTCAGGTTTCCAACGCAGCTCCTTCACAAGTCGCGCTCCTTGTGTATCCTTTCAAGACAGAGTCTGCAAGCCGGGCTCGGTGGCGCTGCCTGTCATCCCAGCACTCCGCAGACAGAGGCAAGAGGATCTCGAGTTCGAGGACAGCTAGGCTAGGTAGCAGACCCTCCCCCCCCCAAAAAAAAAAAAAAGAACTAGCTGGGCGTGGTACCGCATGCCTTTAATCCCAGCACTCTGACTGAGACAGGCGGGTCTCTTGAGTTCTAGTCTAGCCTGGTCTAGGAAACCCTGCCTCGGAAAGAAAAAAAAAAAAAAGGGAAAAAGAAGAAAATTCTATAATGAGTTGTAGTGGTATATGTTTTAAAATTCAAATAGTAAAAAATGAAACGTAATTCTCCGTTTCCCAGGTCTCAAATCACTGCTGAGGCAATAGACCTCTATACTGTGTCCTTAATTTCTTTTTTTTTAAAGTGCGCGTGAGTGAGTGAGTGAGTGAGTGAGTGAGTGCGTGCGTGCGTGTGCGTGCGTGTGTGTGTGTGTGTGTGTGTGTGTGTGTGGTCAGTATGCCAAAAGAGCTGGATTCCCTGGAATTAGAGTTATAGGAAATTATGTGCCCCTTGATGTGGGTGCTGGCAACCGAACTTGGGCTCTCTAGAAGAGCAATACATGCTCTTAACCACTGAACCATCTCTCCAGCCCTACCTCCCTACCACCATTAATTTCTTTTTAAAACAAAAAATAGCATACACAAAGCACTACATCTTTTACACTCCACAGTATCTGTTGATAGGTGCTCAGTATACAGATCCCACTGGTTTTTAGTGGCTTGACAATAAATAACATATTACCTGGTTACACTGTTCTTAGTTCTTCACTGAAACTCCTCTTCCTCTTCTGCAGTTAGGAAGTTTCACAGAGGGACCTCTGTGATTTGGAGGCCAGCCTGGTCCACAGATTATTCAAGACCAGTCCAGGTTTGCATAGTGAGACCCTATCTCAAAAAGGGGGGGGGAGGGGCTGGAAGGATGTCACAGTGGTGAAGAGGGCCTAATGCTCTTGCAGAGGGTCTGAGTTCTGAGTTCAGTTCCCAGCACCCATGTCTGGTAGCTCACAACCACCTGTAACTGCAGTTCCAGGAGTATCCAGGGCACTGACACATAGTGTGTAACATATGTGTGCACATAGCCTGACACAGGCACACATATACATGTAATTAAAAGAAAAAATGAAAAAATATACACATAAATTATGATATCTTAGAAGTGAATTTGCTAAAGCAAAGTGCTTTTATTTTTTTTTATTTATTTTTTTTTTTTTTTGGTTTTTTTGAGACAGGGTTTCTCTGTGTAGCTTTGCGCCTTTCCTGGATCTCACTCTGTAATCCAGGCTGGCCTGGAACTCACAGAGATCTGCCTGGCTCTGCCTCTTAAGTGCTGGGATTAAAGGTGTGCGCCACCACCGCCCCTTATTACATATTTTTATTTACTTCCTTTCCAATAGAGTTTCTAATATGCCCACTAACAATGTAACAATGACTAGTTCACATTCTATTAATAAGTAATTACTTTCATCTGTTTCATTACTTTGCTGCTTTTTGGTTTATTTGTTTTTTGTTGTTGTTTTGTTTGTTTGTTTGTTTGTTTTTTAGGAGCTGAGGGCTGAGGACCGAACCCAGGGCCTTGAGCGCTCTACCACTGAGCTAAATAAATCCCCAACCCCGGTTTATTTGTTTGATTTATAGTGCTGGGGATTAAACCCAGGGCCTTAAGCATGCTGGCAAATACTCTCTTAGCCTAATTTCCAGTCTTTTTAACTCTTATAAAGTCCTTTCTGCTCTTTTCTGATGGCTTTTTTTTTTTTATTTAAATGGTACTAGGGATTGAAACTAGAGGCCTCCCCCAATAAGTACTCTATAACTAAACTATATCTCAGCTCTCTCTTCAAAAAAATTTTTTTTAGATTTATTTATGTATAAGAGCCCTGTACACCACCACCCAGATGCCCGGTATCCTCAGACTTGAGAAGAGGGCATTGGATCCCTTGGAGCTGGAGTTAGAGATGATTATGAGCAACCATCTGTGTCCTGGTAACTGAATCCAGGTCCTCTGCAAGAGAAAAAAATGCTATTAACCTCTGAACCATCTCTCCGGCTTCCCCACCCCCTTTTTTTCTTAAAAGATGTATTTATTTTTATTTTATGTGCTTGAATGTTTGTTTACATGTATGTCTGTTCATCATTTCAGAGACCAGAAGAAAGAATTAGACCTCTGGAGCTGAAGTTCCAGGCAGTTCTGAGTAGCATGTGGGTGCTAGGAATCGAACCCAGGTCCCCTGCAAGAACAACAAGTACATGTAACCGCTGAGCCATCTCCACATCTCCCTCTCTTTCTTATTCCTTTAGCATTTGAATTTCATTCTCCCTCTCTTTTTTAAGGTAGTAATAGTTTTATTGAAATGCTATACACATAAAATCAACTTTTTAAAAAATATTACAATTCAAGGGATCTTGTAAATCTACAGAATTGAAAATCATTTCACAGAGCTTATAATATCTTTCATCATCCCAAAAGAAACACTTTAACCACCACTACTCAATCCCTCCTCCGTCCAGCCCTGTACCACTAGCCTCCTTCTGTTTTTACATATTTTCCTACTCGGGATGTTTCGCTCATGGAATCATACAATGTATGGGGTTCTATATTTAACTCCTTTCATGTGGCGTACTGTTTCAAATGGCTAGTCATGAGAAATCTTGCTCAACGTAAGTATCCAATAGAGATCGCAGATGAAACTACAGTGAGATACCATATGATGCCCACTACGATCAGAGGGCTGAAATGAAGAAGACTGCAGAAATAGAAATCGTACGTTGCCTATGGGAATATAAAGAGCACAGCCCCTTTGGAAAACAGCTTTTCAGGTTCTGAAAAGGTTATGTTCAGAGAAGATAGCCATGTTTACTGTGTTTGAATATTACATAATGTTTACATGTATTGAGCTATATAGTCCCGCATTGTGGTCCATACCTGTAATCCTATCACTTAGGTGGCTGAGGAAGAGGATTATTAAGAGTTCGAGGCCTGCCTAGGCTACATAATATGTTCCAGGTCACAGAATAAAACCCTATCTTAAAAAAACAAAATAAAAGAAATAGTGTATGCTACCCAATAAATACATACATGGGGGTCTTACCCCTGCTGAGCCAGTGCTCCGCCCTCAGGGGTACTGCCTCCAGTCCAGTGTAAGTTTATGTGAAAACATTTGACTACACAAATATTGGTCCCAATGATCTCAGCACTATGTATTGTAGCCAAAAACCTGGGGATAAGCCAAGTGTCTGTTGACTGATAAGTGGATAAACAAACATGACTTACTGTTACACTGAAATACTGCATTTAACAAAAAGATTTTACAGGAATTAGAATAACAGCTCAGCAGTTAAAAGTGCTTGCTGTTCTTCAGAGGACCAGAGTTTGGTTCCCAACACCGATATCAAACTATCAGGTAGCATTTTTTTTTTTTTTAATTGTATATACAGTGTTCTGTCTGCAGGCCAGAAGACGGCAACAGATCTCACATTACAGATGGTTATGAACCACTATATGGTTGCTGGGAATTGAACTCAGGACCCCTGGAAGAACAAGCAGCGCTCTTAACCTCTGAGCCATCAGTCAGCTTTTTAACTGCATGATACTCCAGCTCCAGAAGATCCTATACCCTCTTACTGGCCTCTGTGCATATATTAATACAGACAGATACACAAATAAAAATACATCTCTGAAAACATTTTGAGTAATTGGGTGTGGTTGCTCATGCCTTTAATGATTAGATTAATCCCAGCACTCAGGCAGAGGGAGCTGATTCTCATTAGTTCCAGACCAGTTTGGTCTACTAGTAAGTTTCAGGCCAGCCAGGACTATATGGTTAGACCCTGTCCCAGAAAAAAACAAAAAGACTACTCTATTTACAAGCTAATACAAATATGCACGTATGTGTGTTTTTGTAAATTTGTTTCTCCATTATTTTTATGCATAACTGGCAATATATTATACATTCTGATTTTTACCTACATGTTTTTAAAGAATCACAAGATTATCTTTTTTATTCTTTTAATAAAAAAGCATTAAGTGGCAGAAAAGATGGTTTTCATGGTGAAGTTCATGCCTGCAGAACCCACATACAGAGCCAGGCACAGAGGTGCATACCTGTAATCCCAGTGCTTGGGAGGCAGAGCCAAGAGCATCCCTGGGGTTTCCTTGCCAACCAGTCTAGACAAAATGATGAGTTCCAGGTTCAGTGAAAGACCCTGTCTCAAAAACTTAGGTGTAAGGCTAGAGATGATTCAGTGGTAAAGAGCACTTGTTGTTCTTGCAGAAGACCTGAGTTCAGTTCCCAGAACCCACATGGTAGCTCACAATCACCTGTAACTCCAGTTCCAGGGCATCTGATGAGCTCTTCTGAACTTCATAGGCACTAGGCATGTATGTGGTGCACATACATACATGCAGGCAAAACATTCATACACATAAATCTTTAAAAAAAAAAAAAATACAGTGGACCAGGTGTGGTGGTGCAAGCCTTTAATCCCAGCACCCAGGAGACAAAAGCAAGCAAACTCGGGGAGTTCAGGCCAGCCTGGTTTACATATGGAGTTCAGGATAGCCAGGGCTACATACAGAGACCCTGTCTTAAAAAAAAAAAAAAAAGTGTGAAGCAATTGAGAAGGACACCCGTTGTCAACCTCTGGCTCCTTACTTGGGACCACACTTACAATCCTAGCACCAGGAGGCAGAGCCAGGTGGATCTCTGTGAGTTCCAGGCTGGTCTACAGAGTGAGTTTCAGGACAGGCTCCAAAACTACACAGAGAAACCCTGTCTCGAAAAACAGCAAAAATAAATAAATAAATAATAGTGTTATAAACATTGAACTGAAGAAGCTGAAGAAGCAGGTCAGTGAGTGGAGTATTTGCCTAGCATCCACAAAGCCCTGGATTTGATTCCTCAGCACTGTATAAACTGGGCATTATGGCACATACCAGTAATCTCAGTATTTGGAAGTTGATGCTGGAGGACCAGAGGTTCAGAATCATCTTATAGGAAGTTTGAGGCCATCTGTCTCAAAAATAAGTAGTGTTGGGGCTAAATAGATGGCTCAGAGGTTAAGAGCACTAACTGCTCTACAAGAGGACCGGGGTTCAATTCTCAGCACCCATATAGCAGCTCACAACTGTCTGTAACTCTAGTTCCAGGGGAGCTGACACCCATGGCAAAACACTAATGCACATTTAAAAAAAAA